CCCTGCATTCCACAGCAGGGCGAGGGCCAGCGACTTCCAGGGTAGCTCCTCCCGGTCGTACAGCAGCCGCCTGACTGCCATGAGCCTGAAACTCATGACCCTGGCGACGACGTCTACCAGACCCTGGCCGCTCTCGCCCACCGGCAGGCAGAGAACGCCCGGCCTGAACCAGTGTTTCTCATGCAACACGAAGTGTGCGAGTGAGCAGTTGACTCTGGTGAGTAGACAAGCAGGAGGCTGGAAGGCCTTTGTCTTATGCCACAGCACGGATGCTGCCAGGGTGTTAGCGATGAGCACTCGGCCCCTGAATGACATCTGCGGAGCAAGGCGTGCCCACGTCAGTAATTTAGCCTCGATTGTGTCGGCCAGCTCGGTCCAGTTGTTCAGAGCGACGAGTGGTTTCCCCAGGTAAATGCCCAGGTACTTGACTCCGTCGTCCCGCAAACTGACTCGTCCTGGGAGGAGCACAGAGCGAATGCCGCCTCGCGACATTTAAACACAGGGCCTCGCACTTGGCCCAGTTGACCCTGATGGAGGAGGCCCTCTCGTACACTGCAACTGCCTGGCAGAGTGCGGAGACGTCATGCGCATCGTTGAGCACGATGCATATGTTGTCTGCGTAAGCCGAGAGCTTGATGACCGTGTTCTCAGGTCCCGGGACTTTAAGGTCAGACAGATTTAGTCTCAGGTGGCGTAGCAGTGTCTCAATGGACAGGGTGTACAGCAGCCCCGAGAGGGGAAATCCCTGTATTTTGTAGTCGGCGCACAAGAGGGACACGGGTCGCCAATTCTCGACGAGGCGCAGGTCCTCCTTCTTGGGTAGCAGGGAGACCACCGCCCATCCTGCAGCTCTGTGGGAGTTCACCCTTCTGCAGGTTCTCCGTCAACAATTGTAGTAGTGAAGGACCAAGCTCATCCCAGAAGGCCGCATAAAACTCAACCGGCAGGCCGTCAATCCCCGGGGCTTTACCAGCTGTGAGCCATTTCACAGCGGTGTGGAGCTCCTGCAGGGTGACGGGGCTGTCCAGACGATCCCGCTCGGGGACTCCTAAGGTAGGGCCCCCGTCCAGTAGCTCCTGGACAGCCCTGTTGTGTATGGTTTCGGTGGCAAAAAGTTGGGAGTCGAAATCCCTGGCGGTCTTGGCGATCTCACTCTCAGATGTTGCTGTTTGTCCATCTGGGGTTCGCAAACTGGAAATGTTTGTGGTGTTGATTTGTTTAAGCGGAAAAAAAACTTAGAGGGAGAGTCCAGCTGCGACAGGTGCTGCATCTTTTTGCACACAAAAGCACGATGTGCCTGCTCGTCCGTGATGGACCTGAAAAGCCACTGCTTCTCCAGTAGCGTCTCACCCTGCTGCGTGTCGTGGGATGAGCTCAGCTCTGCCTCTAGTGCCAGCAGCTCGTTCTGCAGTTGGCGCGCCACCTCGTTCTTGGCGGCGGCGTGCTGGCTCATGAACTGCTGACAGAGAGCCCTGACCTGTGCCTTTGTGTTGTCCCAATATAACTGGTGGGAGCTGAAGCTTCCTATGGCAGGCAGCCACTGAGCCCAAAAGGCGTTCAAGGTTTCTCTGAAGTCGGTGTCATCAAGCAGCTGTACGTGTAGTCTCCAGTAGGCGCTGTGCTGCTCCGCTCTGGGAATTCGCAGCAGCACAGAGATCAGGTGGTGATCGAAAAAACTGGAGGGTACGATTTTACTGTCCGTGAGCAGGTTAACGCTGCTGACGTTGACGTACAATCGGTCGAGCCTGGCAAGGCTTATCCTGCCTTGAGAGCCGCAGCGGCACCAAGAGTACTGCCGCTGGGCTGGATGCTGTAGTCACCGCACGTCATGCAGATCCAGTCTCCGTTACGAGGTCGGCTAATGGCCGCCAGAGTAGCGTCGAGGTGAGTTTCCTGGAGGAGAGTCACATCTGCTTTGTGTTGCCTGACAAAGTGGCAGATCTGGTCCCACCTCTTGTCACTGCGAGCGCTATTACAGTTCAGACTAGCAACCTTAATAGCTGAAGCCATCATGTAGTTGTGTGGTGGTGGCAGTGTTAACGGTAGTTGCCGGTGGCTGGGTTAATTAAGTAAGCTCCTTCTACGCCTTACGCATGAACGCTTTTAGGAGGTAGTATTCCTGAGTCGAGATAACAAACCTGTCGCTGTTGCGGCAGATTTGTTGGGACGCTTTGAGGAAAGTGGTGAGGTCAGGGAAAATGGCCCCAACCCTATCTTGACGCTTCCTGAAAGTTTTCCTGAGGAAGTTGTGGATGTTCCCAGGTGAGTAATCGCACTCGCTATTGACTTGTGAGTAGCTGAGTCACTCACATTGTCCTCTCCTTCAGTCTCCGACACCTCATCGTCCGAGTCCTCCAGCTCGTCAAACTGTGACTCGGCAGAAACCTCATTTACCTTTGGTGATGGCAGGGCCCCATCGTGAAGAATGTGGCTGCCCTCTGGTAGTGGAGGTTCTTTTGCTCTCCCTTCGGGTGAGGTGAGCCGGCCTTCGTCGCCTTCCTGCAGTGTGGCGCCAATCAGGCGCCGCACCGGCTCGTGGTTCCTCTTGCCCTGAGGATGCTGAGGCAGCATGCGGCGGTGTCAGCGAGGATGTTGGCGGCACTTGTCCCACCGTGCTGTCCTCAGGCGAGTCGCCATCGACTTTTGGATCGGGCTCGTGATCGGCGGTGGCCGTGCGCGTAGGATTAGGGGCGCGTGGCCTCCTCCGCCGTGGCCGGGCCTTACCCTGCGCTTGCGGGAGGTGACGAGGGTGAAGCCCTCGCCATCCTCGTCGTCGGTGGGCGGCTTTGCGCGACCGGCCACCGAGTCAGCGTCCTGCTGCTGCAACAGCTGGCACTCATGCAGTGCTGGCTGCTGCTGCTTAGGCTGCGGTTGCTGCAGCTGCTGCTGCGGCTGCTGCTTCTGCTCGCGCTGCTGATGCTGTGGCGGCTGCTGGCGCTGTTGCTGCTGCTGCGTGACGTTTGTTGCAGGCTGCGAGTTTTTTCCTTTTGGTTTGCCCGTGCAATTTGCACGGGCATGGCTGAAGCCACCGCACACGTAGCAGCGTGGCAACGCGGTAGACAAGTACACGGTGTAGCCTTCCGATGTGTACTTAAAGTTCACGTTAAGTTGCGTGTTGTTGACGTTTATGGGCTACACGGGGGGGGGGGGGTCTTTGTGTTGTATTGTGTGAGATGATATATAACGAGCACCCGGTTATAGAAAGTGATCACATTTTATTAATGTACAGTACCGCATAAGACAACGCACGTTAGCTGTATGTATCAGCAACATCTGGTTATTGCAAAGGACTTGTCAATAACCTGACTCGATTTACAATATTTATAATTCAGAAGGAATCTGATGAGACTATGGGGACCTCATTTGCCAGTAAAAATATGATAATTGGTTCTTTACCCTTCTATCTGGCAACAAAAAAGGTGTCAGTTTTGTTGCCAGATAGAAGGATAGAAGGGTAAAGAACCAATTATCGAATCTGATGAGCTCTACAGCTGTTTTTTCACAGATAAAACTACTATTTATTAAAAACGGAGGACCCGGAAAAAAATCCACGCGACCACCATGGAGAGAGAGAGACACACACAAACTCCAAATATACAGCAGCAGGCATCGTCAGGGTCAGGAATAAACCCACGATCTTCTATATACAAGGCGAGGTAGTTAACATCTCACCAGAAGTCCAGTCGGGGCACAGGGTCAGAACGTTACAATAACAAACACAATGCACACAAACACTGCACGTTCATAGACCAATATTGATTTTAAGCTTTCGTGACTGCAGGAATCCATACTCTTTGGTTATTTCGGTAAAGTCACGTCGGTACACAAAATCTATATATATAAAATCGTGAATGTCTGTCTGTCCGTCTGTGTGTGTGTGTGTGTGTGGATTTCGGACCATACGCACTTTCATTGGACGGCGGTTGCCCCTGGCAACGGCTAGCGACGCCTTCGCCGCTTTCATTGGAACTGGCAACGGCTAGCGACGCCTTCGCCAGAGGCTGCAGTTTCATTGGACGGCGGTTGCCCCTGCCAACGGCTAGCCACGCCTTCGCCACTTTCATAGGCTCCGTAAATAATTAAATAATAGCCATTACACAATATTGTTGGAGCGCTAGGGGGGGGGAAGGAACGCCACCCGTACCCTGCCTCTGCCGGGTAGACAATTTAGGCGAGGCCGCAGGCTCTGCACGCTACTAGGCCTCGACACCCACCACGCCACTCTGAGGTAAATTCAGCAAAGTTTTTCCTACTCTTCACTCCACCCCCACCACAATGTGTGCAATTAATATTACTTTTAAACCCAACGCGCCAACAATCGATTACTTAAATGTTCACTGTACAAATAGTCATTAAGCTGGGTCAGCGTACTGCCAGTCTATCATGTAGACTGTAGCCTGCTTATTAAGCTCGGTGAGCGTACTGCCACTCTATCATGTACACTCTAGCCTGCTTATGAAGCTGACTGCGTGTACTGGCAGTCTATAATGTGGACTGTAGCCTGGTTATTATAATCGATTCTTTATATGTTCTTTGTACAAATAGTCATTAAGCTGGTTGAGCGACCCCAGTTCGATTCCAACTCACGCCCACCACCGCTGACGATTATTTGAAACGGACCTGGCCCTCCCCTAGGTCCACTCAGCCTCAAACGCGTAACTGCTGTCGTGTGTGAACATCGTCACTGGGGAGACAAAGGCGGCCGGGCATCGTGGATCCAAGTCCCGGGCGAAGCCGGGTCATGTGTATGTGTGTATGTGTATGTCTGTGTGTCTGTATGTATGTGTGTATGTATGTATGTGTATGTGTTTGTGTGTGTGTGCATGTATGTGCGTTTTTTTCTATGTCTTTATGTGTATGTCTGCGTGTCTGTATGTATGTATGTACGTGTGTGCATGTGTTTGTGTGTATGTATGTGTGTGTCTATGTATGTGTGTGTATGTGTGTGTATGTATGTGTGTTATGTGTCTGTCTGTGTGTCTGCATGTATGTGTGTGTGTATTGTGTATGTGTTTGTATGTATTTGTGTGTTTACGCTCACATTACACAAATGTGTTGCAGGTCTAAGGAGTTCCTTGCGCAGTATTGCCGTTTTATTATTTCAGTCGTTTACTGCCGTACGCACCCTGAAAGTCGTGTGTGTCTGCAGCAAACGCGTGTATGTGTACGCGCGCGCGTGTGTTGTGTAGGAGGAACGGTAGTGTAGTGCTTAGCGTGCTGCCTGTGTCTGTGTGTGTGTGTCTGTGTGTGTGTCTGTGTGTGTGTGTCTGTGTGTGTGTCTGTGTGTGTGCGTGTGTGGTGTGTGGGGAGCGGTAGTGTAGTGGTTAGCGTGCTGTCTGTGTGTGTGTCTCTCTGTCTGTGTGTGTCTGCGTGTGTCTGTGTGTGTGTCTGTGTGTGTGTCTGTGCGTGTGTGGTGTGTGAGGAGCGGTGGGTGTAGTGGTTAACGCTACGCTGCGCTACAAACCCGGCGAACCGAGTTCCATTCCCGCTCACGGCCACCACCGGTGACGATTATTTGAACCTCCCCTAGGTCGACTCAGCCTCAAACGAGTAACTGGTGTGGCGTATTAACATCGCCACTGGGGGGACAAAGGCGGCCGTGCGTGAGTGGTGAGGGAAGGAGAGTGGTGAGGGGGGGAGAGTGGTGAGGGAGGGAGAGTGGTGAGGGAGGGACAGTGGTGAGGGAGGGAGAGTGGTGAGGGAGGGACAGTGGTGAGGGAGGGAGAGTGGTGAGGGAGGGAGAGCGGTGAGGGAGGGAGAGTGATGAGGGAGGGACAGTGGTGAGGGAGGGAGAGTGGTGAGGGAGGGACTCAGCCGCAAAACGAGTAACTGGTGTGGCGTATTAACATCGCCACTGGGGAGACAAAGGCGGCCGGCCGTGGTGGATACAAGTCCCGGGCGAAGCCGGGTAGTACAGCTAGTATTTCATAAAAAATATTCCCTCTCATGATTGTTGGTGAGTGCCAATAAATACCTTGCTAGACTGTACCATAGCCATGTCACTCTAAATAATGTAAGATAAATCTCACTTTTAGTTGAACACATTACTTCACAGTTATAAGCAAACAATCATATATAACGACAAAAAAATACTAAACTAATTTTAATTTTACCAGGTTAAGGCCCCACTGAGCTGTGTAGCTCTTTTTCAGAAAAAAATCTGGCTACCACAAATGTTAGCTCAACGAAGAGGCTAATATTATCACGTCGAAATTTATAGCAGGAGCCAAATAATGCGTGACGTTAATTATAAACGTGAACTGGGATAAAAATCCAACACGGGAAACTACAAATATAGAACAGCAGGCATCGTCAGGGTCCGGATGGAACCATCATCCTCCTGCATACTAGGCCACCATGGTTAGTGCAGTGCGATAACCACTGCACCACAACTCATACATCATCATCATGATCCATGGACAGATAGCCCCGTCGTAGGAGGCGGTCCTCTGCACATTTCATGATTTGTTGTTTCCATACTCTCTGGGTCTTTCGGTAAAGTCACGTAGATAGAATAAAAGTATTATTATTCTATTTCGTGACGGCAGAAATTCATACTCTCTGGGTCTTTCGGTAAAGTCAAGTAGATAGAATAAAAATATTATTATTATATTTCTCCGGGTCTTTCGGTAAAGTCACGTAGATAGAATAAAAATATTATTATTCTATTTACGTGACTTTACCGAAAGACCCAGAGAGTATGAATTTCTGCCGTCACGAAAGCTTTGAATCAAGATTTGTTGTTTCCAATTTCCTCTCTCTGTCTTGTAGTGTCAATCTGCTCAAGTAGTGGTCACATCTTTCTGGCACCAATCTCGTTATGATGTCGTCGTCAAGCCATTCTCTGTTAGGTCTTCCTCTCTTTCTGGTTCCATCCATTAGAATTTATCAAAGATGTCCTTCAGGTCTGGGTAACTTTCCCTGAGGTCCCACAGCGCCTCCCAGAATTGCTTGACCCTGGGTCGCCCCCTCGCCATCACCAACTCCACCATGTGCTGCGTCGCCTTCTCGCTGCCTTGCCGAGCTTGCATTCCTTTCACTTCCTGCGGGTGAACACATGACCGCAAGAACCACTCTGTTTGTGTTGTTTCAGCCGTGAAGCAACGTTAATGACGAAAGTTTGACTTAGTGCACGTGATTGTGAGACACGTACAACAAGGTCCCATATTTGTTGTTCACGCCTTCCAACCAAAAGTTTAAAATTGGCTCCGTCAATCTGTAATGCCTGTGGCTACAATAACTCGAGTAAAGATGATCCAATATGAACAAACACTTCTGGAAAAAAATTGATTTTGCTATTCGGGACTTACCCCTGCAGAATACTGGCCACATTGATCACAGGATTCCCCTTAAAAGTTGGAAACAAAACCAGCACTAAAAGGAATTACATCAGACACACACATAGCACTCATTGCTGATCACTCTGATTTATCACTGTCAACCACTTCTGCAGTAGACTCAAAATGGGACATGTTCTGTAAAGCCTAGAAAGCATATCAATAGTGCTTTCGTGACAGTCGTACTCTTGCTCAAATTAAGACTCAGATTACCTCGTCGCCAAACGCCTGTTCCTGTAAATCTGCCGACCGTTCAACTTACTCAATGGAGACTGAAATGTAATCGTCGACTCGGCAATCGCGGCTCTCATTGGTCTGGGCATTCGATCACTTCTCGATTTTGTTAATTTTACCAGCTTACAAGTCTTCTTGAGTCCGACTTTGGAATTGGAGAAATAGTCCTAAAATTAATCTCATCCTATGTGGCCGAGAGAGAACCACCTCTTCAAAAAGGTGAATCCACATCCACTATCACAAAGGACTCGTGCAGGGACCCCAGAGCTCCGTGCATGGGCCACTACTGTTTGATATCTACACATCCCCCCATGCTTCTTCTTCTTTAGTGCTGCCTAACGGCGTGTGCGACTTCACGATGATATTGGTCCCGGTCTAGCATGGCGTGTAGAGTTTGTGCTGTTGTTAATTGTAGCCATGTTTTGATGTTACTGAGCCATGTCGTTTTTGGCCGTCCTGGTCGTTTTTTTCCTTCGATTTTTCCTTCCAGGATTTGCTTTAATAGCTGGTATTTGTGGTCGTTTCGGGTAATGTGGCCTAGGTAGTAACACTTCCTGCTAATGATGGTCTTCAGCAGTTGCCTGTCAGTGCCCATATCTTGCAGAACTTGTGTATTGGTGGTTTTGGCTGTCCATGGGATTTTCAGCATTCTTCGATACAGCCACATCTCGAAAGCTTCGAGCCTTTTTGTTGCTGTTGTTGTCAGTGTCCACGTCTCTACTCCGTACAACAATATTGACCAGATGTAGCATTTCAGTGTGCGCAGTTTCAGTGATGTACTCAAGTTGCGGTCTGCATAGAGTGTTTTCCATTTCATAAATGCTTGCCTTGCTTGTTCAATTCTGCTCTTGATTTCGACTTCATGGTTCAACTGATCGTCAATGATTACACCAAGGTATTTAAATCGGTGTACTTGTTCCAATTTTTCACTGCCAAGCTTGATTGTTATTTCGCTTGTAGTTTGGCTGACCTTTATAACCTTTGTTTTCTTTTTATTAATTCGTAAGCCCCATATTTGACTCTCTGTGGCAACCTCATCCAAGATTTGTTGTAGGTCTTGTTCCGAATCGGCCAGCAGTGCAGTGTCGTCGGCATACCTGATGTTGTTGATATATTGTCCATTGACTTTAATACCAATGTTTTTATCTGCTAGTGTTCGATCAAAAATCTGCTCCGAGTAGATGTTGAAAAGACTGGGTGAAAGTGGGCAGCCTTGTCGTACACCTTTTTGTATTGGTGTTGGGTCTGTCAATTCGTTGTCATATCGGAGTTGGGCTGTTTGCTTCCAATAAAGAGCAATGATGAAATTGATGTCGTTTTTATCTAGTCCCAGTTGTTTTAATAGAGCTGCTAGTCGGTCGTGGTCTACTGAGTCAAAGGCTTTCTCGTAATCTATGAAGCAGATGTACACTTCTTTCTGATGTTCGTAGCATCGCTGTAGTAGTATCTGTAGACAGAAGATTGCTTCTCTTGTGCCTAGTCCTTTGCAGAAGCCAAACTGTGTGTTCTTCAATGCATTTTCGCATGTGGAGCGTATGCGCTGTTGGATCACCTTCAGGAAGACTTTCAGCACGTGGCTCATCAAGCTTATCAGTCTGTAGTCCTCGCATTTCCAGCTTGTTGCTTTCTTTGGTATGGCCACAAAGATGGATTGTAGCCAGTCGGATGGAATTTTATTGCCATTGTATATTTGATTGTACCAATTAGTCAGTTGTCGTATGTTGTTACTGTCTAATAGTTTGAGCAATTCTACATGGATTGTGTCGGGCCCGCACGCTTTGCCTGACTTAGCTGTTTTGATTGCATGTTCTACTTCTGATGTTAAAATGTGTAGAGCGTCTTTCGACATCTGTTGGTCTTTTTCTGCAGGTGTTCTCGCGGCGCCATAGAGCTTGTGTATATAGTTTATCCAGGTGTCCATTTTTTCTTGTTTATTTAGGATTGGTTGGTTGTTGTCCGCATACAAGGTAGCTGTTGGGGCTGGTCTGTAGATGTTACCAGCTTCTTTGAGCTTCTTGTGCAGAGTAAAATTGTCATGTTTTTTAATTAGTTCTTCAATCTCGGCGCATTGTTCTTCCATCCACTTTTCTTTTGCCTGTCGGATTGCTTCTCTGATCTTCTGTTGCATTTGTTTGTACTTCTCCAAGTTGTTATTTTTGTACATTTTTCGTTTGCTCATTAGATCGAGAATAGTTTCGGAATTAAATACCACTATGCTGATGACATTGTATTATAGACACCAATGAACCCCACTAATGCTCAAGGAATTGAAAATCTCTCAGAGTGCATAACAGCCTCGCAGCACTGGTTCTGGTCGCATTATCTTTCTTTAAATGCAGCCAAATCTGAAGCCACACTCATTGGGACCAGACAGCGGCTCATGTCACCCTCTTTTCCGCTCAACATCACGATCACCAGCACCACAATGCCCATTACGGACCGCTTCAAATTCACTGGTGTCACTGGATTATTCCACCTTTTCTCTGGACATTCATGTCAACTACTCTTTGTCACCCACGTCCAGTCATTACCATAAATATTGCCAACACCGTCGCCTGCAGTCGAGGTTAGCCCTCATCTCGACTACTGCAATGCTGTTCCCTCCAAGTCATCATCGAGCAACGTCCGCAAATTACAAGGGTTGCAGAACAACCTTCCTCGTGTCGTCCTTGGTGTCCACCAACCTACGACTCGACTAGGCCACTGCGCTCCATGGCCTTCATTGTCTCTCCTTCCCCAGCAAGGACAAATTATAATAATCGCCTGTATTTGTCACCCCTTCATCACCGGTTCCCCACCACCACACCTCGCCTCACTTCTCTCGCCTTGCACTGAAGGCTCATGATAGAACCCTACACAGCAGCGTCGCTCCAAATCTTCTTCGGACATCAAAAGTCTCGAACTGTTACAGCCTCACGTCATGATACGCACTACTAAATCTGGTGCGTTATGGCATTATTATTTTGTTGTCAATATTTTTTTATAATAATTAAAAGTCAGAGTCAGGGGCGGTTTCTTCATTAGGGCGATTGGGCGACGCACCACCAAAGTGTGAAAGGTACTTTTTCAATCACATTAACAATCTCATTCAACCACAGAGTTACGCTAGCCGTTACTGTGCCTCTGGATATAGTCCAATCAGCGTCATGTCACGTTCTGTGGAGTACCGCCTCTTTTTGGGCGATTTCACTCTGGCTGAGAATCGCCCAGATTGTTCCCATAGACTTACATTCAAAGATGGTTTTTTTCGAACGGCAGGCACTACAATGCATTCTCTATGGCTTCCGGGAGGGCTCGCACTAACGTGCTTACATCATCATACGTAAGCACGTTTCAGTCAACAATATTATTTGTTGCCACCTAGTGGAATTTCGATTTAAAGCTTTCGTGACTGAAAGGATTCATCTTCTTGGTTTATTCGGTAAAGTCACGTCGAAGGGAAGTAATAAAATAATAAAAATAAAACATAATAAAATAATTCTCACGACGTTTCGGCCACAACTCATGTAGCCGTCCTCAGGTGAAAACCAGGTCTGTCGAGGCGACAGCGTCTGAATGAAAAAGCACACGTGCTTGGAGCATGTATATAAGCTGGGTTGGAAGGGGGGAAGAAATGGGGAGCCTTAACAAAAGAATTTGCATATCAAGAGGAATTTAGCATATTTATGGGAAATGCAGGTATGTGATTAGTACTGCATATGCCCGTGCATTATGCAGGATTAGCAGCATCAAAGGGAGGGGATATGGGTAGCATTAATGAAGGGAAGGAGTGTTAATAGTATGTAGCTGCAGTAACTAAAACCACCACGTAAACAACTAAAGTATAAACTACATATTATCATCAGTATACTAAATATACTCTACAATACGCTGAGTTACTAACAGTAAGTAATACATTACAATTCTACGTCGTAAAAAATATATATAATATGCTTCCATCTAAACTTTATTCTCTTACATCACACGAGTCTACACCCTACTATATACTGCCATAGACAAACCCAACATTAAATTATATACTGTATTGCACACCAAAGAAAGGTTCTTCTTTACCGACCACCTTGTAAGTGCCACGCTGCTACAAGGAGAGATGTTTCAACAGCATGGCCATACATTCCCTGTTGAGGCTCTGAACATCACTGTCAGGGCATACCCTATGTTAAATAAGGCGAAGCTGAAGACTGAACTGTCTGTCATTTATGAGAGTCCAGAATTCAAGGGCTGCTGTGGTGCACTAGCGCTGTACCAGGTTTTGCTGAAGTAGAACCTCCAGGATACTATTTCAGAGACTGTTGCTCTGTTGAACATCCTCATAACCACTCCCATGACAACTGCTGAAGCTGAGAGGTGTTTCTCAACCTTAAAGAGAATCAAGACATTCCTGAGAAATGTAATGGGACAGGAACGTCTGAATGCAATGGCTATGCTTTCCATGGAGAGGGAACTAGTCAGGAACATGTCTGCTTTCAATGAGAGAGTAATTGATCACTTTGCTACTTTGAAAGAGAGAAGAGCTAAATTTCAGTATAAGTAAGCAGTGTATTAAGCGAGTAATGTGATGTAAGCAGTGTAATAATAGTGAGTATAGAAACAAACATGGAGATGTATTGTAAGAATCACTTTATTTTTCATTAATATTAAAGTAGTGAAGTTGCCTTTACATGCTTAAGCTGTTAATTTATCCATTGCATGGGTGGACCTTATCCTTATCAATCATCCAAACATTTGCCCCCCCTGAGAGATTTTGCAGGAGCCGCCACTGGTCAGAGTGCATTTGATGTTGCGGATGTCCAATGGGACAGAGTTCCACACCGAGGCGGTGACAGCAGAGAGACTGACGCGAGGCGTTTTTAAGTTCGAGACCTCGGTGTCCGAATACCAAACACCTCTTTATGAGATGATAAATGACGATTATGAATATGATGACGATGATTTTAGTGGACATACCCGCACACTGTTGTCGGTGAGTATGTTCCTGATCTGTAGTTGGGAGAGCAGAGGCGTCAGGTCGTCCCGCAGCGCCATGAGCAGCTCCCTCGTGTTGAAGCGGATTTTGTCCCGGAGGACAAAGTCGCTGTAGCTGTTCAGAACCACGTGGGACTTGTTGGAGAGTCTCCTGAGGAAGCCTGCGGCACCACAAAGGGGACAACGTTCGCACTGATTCAGCCTTCAGGGGTGGACGAGAGCAGGTTGGAGTGCTCTTGGACAGCTGAACATGTTAGCCCTCTAGAATATTTTATCCATAAGAGGTTATGGATAACGCCTGTAGCTACGGGCTAAACGATACATTGATATTCATGCAAACTCCCCCCAAAAAAAACCTCCACTGTGGATAAAAATTGGCCAAAACCGAAACAAGACCGAAAGTAAAAGTTTTACTTCCGGCCGAAACCGAAAGTTTAACTACACTTTCGACCAAGACCGAAACAGAAAGATATATAACCGAAGTTACCGAACACAAGATTTATGAAATACTAGCTTTACTACCCGGCTTCGCCCGGGACTTGGATTCACCACGGCCGGCCGCCTTTGTCTCCCCAGTGGCGATATTGACATACCACACCACTTACTCGTTTGAGGCTCAGTAGACCTAGGGGAGGCCCAGGACCGGTTCAAATAATCGTCACCGGCCATGAGCGGGAATCGAACTCGGGCCGCCGGGTTCGTAGCGCAGCGTGCGAATCGCTACGCAGTCGCTGCCCCGCCCCCGATACACACAGGCTAAAGACAAAGATCCCCCGACTGACCGACTGATAGACTTAGCACTAGCGTTGTATTCTAATAATAGATCTTCGGTTGACGACCAAAAGTCAATATCAGTTTTGGCCGAAACCGAAACCAGACCAAAAGTAAAAATTTTACTTTCGGCCGAAACCGAAAGTATGCCGTAAGTGGCTAATTGCCAACTTTCAGCGCCGAAACCGAAACCGAATTTCGGGCAGCCTCTACAATAGAGCTAATGTGGTGTGTAATCTCAGCAGCACATAGTCCACCCCAATTCTGAATTGGAGGCATGCCCTCTACTCTGAATAGTCTACACGCTGCTGTGCACGTGAGGCTTGGAGGGGCAGGAAATGTCACTGGAAGAGATGATGGCCGGTTAACATGAAAGAGGTGGAAGGTATCTCAAAGATTGTTTACTACCAAGGCCTCCCAGCCACTCCTTGACTCCAGGATAACGGTCCTGCACGGCTTGCAGAGCAAACAGAAGCTTGAGGCAGTCATCGTTCCCTCTCTCTATGAAGTATTTGAGCAGCAGCTGCGCGCCCTCCGCGCCATCCCGGATGCCCTTGGCTTCAGTGAAGAGCTCGTTCGAGATTCGTCCTCGGCTCATCAGCTGCAGCAGAAGATGATTGGGGTCTCTGGAAATCCACAGCTTCAGATCCGACTCCTTATCTCGAATGGCCCTCAATGCCTCGCCTGCAGTCAACAGAGGTGCATATGAATTTCAAACGTATCGTTTAACACATTTAATTGACTTTAAATAATATTCAGCTACAGTTGTACTTCTGGAATCAAGCCACAAGATATAACATAATCAAGATCACATCGGTACTCAAACATTCTCAAATGTAACGTGACATTGTTCAGTCACATGCAGCGTGGCGTCATTGCCGTGCTGCTTTAAACGTAGCGTTATTGTCGCTAATAACTTCCCCCGAGGACGAGCTGGTGTTGGAAAGCATTACAAAAGCAATGCATATGCCAAATTTTTCCCTCCTTGACTCTAAAAAAATCCATTCAATATCAATATACTGGTGGGCAACTGCGGTGGCTAGATGTTAAGTACATCTCCTAGTATACAGGAGGTCGTGGATTCAATCCCGACCCTGATGCCTGCTGCTGTATATTTGGAGTTTGCGGTGTCTCTCTCCACGTGGTCTTGTGGATTTTTATCTGGATCCTCTGGTTTCCCGCTCCATATTTAGAAGATGTGGCTGCTTCTATACACTTCAATTCTGAAAGAGAGCTACTACATTGCTCAGTTGGGCTTTACCTGGTAAAATAAATAAATAAATAGCTTAGTTTTAGTATGGGTTTCGATGAGTATGGGTCTCTTTGGTTCTATTTTGGACTCTAGATCTCTGTAGGCCTCTGAGTATGGGTTTCTATGAGTAAGTCTGTAGAATCAGCATCACGTACTGATAGTACTTGGCTGCAGTGGCGGCTCCTGCAAAATCTCTCAGGGGGGGCAAATGTCTGGATGATTGATAAGGATAAGGTCCACCCATGCAATGGATAAATGAACAGCTTAAGCATGTAAAGGCAACTTCACTTCTTTAATATTAATGAAAAATAAAGTGACTCTTACAATACATCTTGTTTGTTTCTATACTCACTATTAAAACAAACCACTCAAGTTTATTTTATTAAAGATTCCACTAGGTGGCAACAAATTATATTGTTGGATGAAACGTGCTTACGTATGATGACGTAAGCACGTATGATGACGTAAGCACGTATGATGACGTAAGCACGTTAGGGCGAGCCCTTCCGGAAGCCATAGAGAATGCATTGCAGCGCCCCCGTTCGAAAAAAAACATCTTTGAATGTAAGTCTATGGGGCCACTCGGGGCGATTCTCAGCTGGAGGGAAATCGCCCAAAAAGAGGCGGTACTCCACAGAACGTAGCATGACGCTGATTGGACTATATCCAGAGGCTGACAGTGACGGCTAGCGTGACTCTGTGGTTGAATGACATTGGTGGTGCGTCGCCCAATCGCCCTAATGAAGAAACCGCCCCTGCTTGGCTGCTAATATACATTTCCACGTGATGTTGATTATGATGATGATATCGCTACTTCATTGAGCTGCTATCATTTATGATGGCCAGGTCGCTTCTAATAAAGAGATACATGGCTCAGTGGGGGCCCTTACAGTTGGAAATATAAAAATTGTTTAGCCGTAGTTTTTTTTTGTGATTCGTTTACGTGGGTCGTACCGTGTTTCTGAATCCACTTCCACAGCTGCACGTATTGCTTCCTCACAGAGTAGAGGGCGTCCCACAGTTTCTCACAGCCCGACTCTCCCTGGCTGATGAAGTGGTCCATCACGAGCTCCACACTCTCCTCTCCGCCCTTGTTGACAGCCGCTTGATGAACACGCCGTGGAATCAAATTGAGGCCGTTGAGATGCTCCAGGAAAGCCGAGGGATCCGTTCCGATCCAGGCCTTGATATTCTCTTTGTTCTCTTGAATGAGTTGCATTGTATCGCTGCTATCATTGCTCCTCTGTAACGTGTGGAGAAGACACGTTTACAATTATTTCTGTGTTTGTGGGATAGAGTCTTCACTGTACTGGTATGTACGCCTACACAATGAAACAATGTAGAGTAGGGTCATCATGTAACCATGCTGTGTTGAATTTACCTGAACTCCATATGGCACCTTGTGTTCATTTCGCATTATATGAACAAGCGGTAGATTTTCATCATGCTCATAATTTGTAGGAGGAGTGTCTGAAAAACATCCGATACAATTAGGTTATCACTGATTCATAGTACAGCTGATATGGTTGTATCATTTTCTTAGAGGTCCAAAACGAAAAACTATTCTATAATTGGACACAGAATACTCAACATGGTGATATTAAAGTCAAGAAGAACATTTACATTCTTTCTATTTAAAGCTTTCGTGACTGCATGGATTCATCTTTTTGGTTCTAATAAAAATAAAACATAATAAAATCAATAATTTGATTTTATTATGTTTTATTTTTATTATTTTATTACTTCCCTTTTACGTGACTTCACCGAAAGAACCAAGAAGATTTACATTCTTTATACTCTGTATGTTTATGGTGTGTCTATCTCTCTGCTTGTGTGTCTGTCGTTGTGTCTCCGTGTCTGTGTTTTGTCTCTCTCTCAAATTTAGCAATCTTTGTAAGAACGTAAAGCAACCAGGTAATATGCTGACTCGTGTTAGCCGACTCTCTGTGTTGTATTGCTTTGTATTTTTAAGTTCACTAGGTTTGTTTTCTACCTGATGACGATTGCTTGTGTTGCAATAGAAACGTCGTATTCTATTATTTAACTTATTTATTTTCTTTCTACGTGACTTTACCGAAAGAACCAAATAGTAATTATTCATATTGTTTAAGATTGGACAGACATTAACTGGAATGTAAAGTTTGCATAATTGCATTGTCAAGATGAAAATGTCATCACCTGCGGCCAAAGACCATGAACAGACAGTTTTACGATCGTTTTTGAATCAGTCCAAATCCTATCGCGATGCACCTCGGGACCTCGATAATTGTCCACTTTCTCTCTTTGTCAGAAAAGCAGTAAGCACACAACGAAGGAATTACAACACTTCAATTGAGCGTCCTATCCAACACGACTTTATGCGAGTGTGAATATTGTTGGATGAGTTGAGGCATGGCAGAGATGACTGTCACCAACACTCTTCTAGGGACCATTTAGAATGGCACCATAGCCAAGCTCTCAAATGGAATGCGACTCATTTTAATCATTCTGTGCAGTGGTGTCTGCAGAGAGCATTCAGAGGCGGCTCGTGCCGAGATGTGATTTCTGCGCACATTTTAATTCATATATAATGAGAGTAAAAATCAATTTTGGTAGATGTATCATTTCAGCCCAATACCAGGATGCAATCTTTGGATTAAGCACGGAACATTACCACTTACCAGATCGCTTCAACATCTTCTTAAAAGTCGACCCCTTCAGTTTCACGTTTAAGTAAAATGTGTACACCAGGAGTGCAGTCAGGACGAAGCCGAAGATTGTTACCAACACGACTACTGTGGTGTCTGAAATTTTACGAAGGAGAAAAAAATAACAAGGTGTCAACAGCAGTCCCCTCTTGGGCCTAATTGTCTGGTCTCTATGATGCATTGCAATGCATGGGAATCCAGACCTCTATCAAACCATTAAATAATTGCTCTTTGCATTATTTCTATAGTTTGTTTAGCACAACAATATCATGAAGGCGTTTTTCCACAGATTATCATTTGCAGCATTTGGACAGCTGTTGGCGATATTTTTTGATAATTTGCGTTCCCCTAAGAACGAACTTTGCAGGTAATTCTAACATTTGAACCCATGGCCTTCTATTTCCAAATAAGGTTACCAGAACTCTATCATTCACCATGAAGCAGATGGTGCATTTTATTTTGTTGAATGCACCAGCAGAATCAACTAGGGTAGCCGTTGGGCTTAAACCACAAACCTCTGAAATGAGTGTGAAGATTTGGAGGCAAGGGGACTCCAGCCTAAAACTTCTGTGTAGAGAAAATAAATATTAGGTGTTCAGTATTGCACCAGGTATTAAACTAATAACATCACACATGGCTGGCTTGACCATACATGCAGCCCCTGAAGCCTGCAATAGACATTAGGTTGAATTTCAATTCGTGCTTCTGTAATATCTTCAATAATGGCGGGAGACGAGTTGACGGGGCAGCACTCTTTTATTCACAACGGTTGCACACGTAACAGTCCCAACCGAGATAACACCTATCTCTCACGTGCCTGACTCGGCCACGTACTCCGTCTTCCCCGTGGGGTACGCGTACCTATCTCTGCCTCGACTCAGGCTCTCTGGCTACGCTCTCCCCACGGGGAGCTATCAGACTCCTATGCGCACTCGGCTCGGGCCGTACTCAGTCTCCCCCGTAGGGTACGCGTGCCTAGCTCTGCCTTGACTCAGGCTCTCCGGCTACACTCTCCCTATGGGGAGCTATCAGACCCCTCTTGTCAGACTACGGGTCTCGACCACTGGGCTACACAGCCCGAGCCCTTACAAGGGCGTCGGACCGTGAATCCCAACGCCTCGCCTCTGAGCCTCTCAGAACCCCGGCCCTTACAAGGGCAGCGGGGCTAGGGGTTCCAGGGCCTATCTCTCCCTCCGTCTTCCGTCTTCTCTGGTTACCAACTCCCCGAGTGCCAGCGCGCATCACCTTACATAGCCCTCCGCTCCCGAGGGGGCGGAGCCTATGCGGACCGCGATGTGAGCACCCACTCGATGTAACCAATCACCACGCGCTGCCTCACGATCCCTCCTGGCAGCGTGTATCACCACTACACTTCTACTGCAGACAGCTTCTGCTGTTTGAGTTGTCAGGCTGTCTCTTGCTCCCACTGTCAGCTGAGAAAAAAAATCTGCTGTTGTGGTTGACTTGAGCGGCTTCGTAATCCTACTGTAGTGACATCAGAGATGTCACTGTATGGTGCCGGCCTAGAAGGGCCGCGCCATTCGATGTTCCTACAACATGGACAGCACCGTGTGGGTGGCTGTGTGTAATACCAGCCCTAGCGGGGCTTGGTGAGCACTGGAATAGTGAGGGCACCACGCAAGCTTGTGGTGGGGGCTCCCACGAGGGGAAGTGGGTGAGGGGAAGTGGGTGAGGGGAAGTGGGTGAGTGTCAGCCCAGGGGCAGGGTTGCCCCTGGCCATGGCACTCTGGTTGACCCTGTAGACACGTGATCCAGAGAGTCCACACAGAGGGCCCCAGGTGGGGGGGGGGGGGGGGGCTAGTGGGTGATCACGTGTCCGGGAAGAGCTCTTGAGAGGGATCAAGAGAGAACGAGAATGCTGGAGAAGGCGGGCGGGGCTGAGGGCGTAGAAGCCCTGACCGTAGGGGGATATAAGGTGGGTCCCTAAGAGGGACCGGGGGTCACTGCATTCTACAAGCTGGAAGCTCAACACCTACAAGCGGGAAGCTCTACGTCTCAAGCTGAAAGATCTCCCTCTTACGAGGCAACCACGTCGTCGGAGACCCGAGTGAGGGTCCGACCCTTCTTAGCAGTAACCCCTCTGTATAGCGTTGTTGGCTGGGTGGCCACCACCCTAGGCTATATTGGGTAAAGGGGCCGTTACCCCTTTGTGTTATGGTGTTACAATAAATGTGTTGCCTCTAAAAGGAACAACGTCTGCAACTCAGTTGGACTCACTACACTACTACTACCTGAGTGTGTCTCCTCAGGCAGACAAATTCCCGAATCGCCATCTCTCTTGAGCCTCTCCATGCACCGACACACCGTGTCCTGGGCCACGGAGCAGTTCACAGCCACCTCCTCGCCTGCAATGAGAAAGTTGACGGTGCTAAAGTTCAACAAACATACACACACAGAGACCCACACAAACCCAGACCAATACAGACCCACAGAAACCCACAGATTAGCACGATTGGCTACGTACGGTGTGAAAGAAGTTCAACATATATTTCATAATAAAGGTTTTTGGGTAAGATTGCGTAAGTATAAATGTGTCATAACCCTCCACCACCCGACATAACCAGTAAGGTTTGTCACATAAACAACGCACCAATTAGTTTACAACTTCAGCCCACTGGTGTGTTGGAGAGATCAGAGGTGGAGGAGGGGGCGGTTATTGTAATTATATGACAATAGATTAGATTGCTAATCCCAGTTGATTAGCATGTATTTACTTAGTAAGGAATACAGTTGTAAGATGTATTACTTAATAATACGCTTCCAGGCCGCATTAAGCCTGTCAAAGCAGTTAAAATTAATTGTATTTATCTCAATTTCAATAGATTCTCCAATTAGTTTTACACAACTTATTATTATGTCTTTTTGTTTGCATGTTCACCACAAGTATATGTGGTTAATGCAGACATGATTTCTTGCAAAGGTTTCAGTTTGGTGTTTTAACATCTTAACACCTGTTTTATTGCCATAAATGGGAAAACCCTATTATTATAATTTAATACTGGAAAAGGAGGTCCCATGATGTTATCCATTGTAGTTGATATGCATACATTAACCCCCCTCTGTTGTTCGCACCTGATTGGCTCACAAGTGAAGACATTACATTGTCCCCTCTATTTAAGACCAAAACACGAAGATTTCTCCGTAACTCTGGATGTTGACTGATGCTACTGGTTGTAATTACTAGCGAAACGATACGGTACTCAAAATGTAAATGTTGTAGTAGGTTTACTCTCCCACTCACCAGTGTGCTAAACTATTAACGAATTGGTATGTTTTCTTAACGTGTCAAGCCTTATAAATTGGCTGTGTCGGGTGGTGGCAGGTTTAACGAGACATTTATATTCACGTGATCTAACCCAAAATTTGATATTATGGATACGTACACGCACACTACTATATGTAGTGACATCGCTGGATGTCGACATGCTGGGTGCAGTGCCAGCCCTAGAGGGGCACAACATGCGGTGTAGCGACATCGCGGATACCACAGTGGTGTGGGTGTCGTACTGGCCCTAGAGGGGCCCGGTGAGCGCTGAATGATAGAGCTAGATGGTGCCACGCTTGGCGTGGAGTGCCGACCCTACAGGACAGGGTGTGTGGGTGCTGGCCGGAGGATGAGGTTATTCGAAGCCATGGCACTCTGGTTGACCCGGGAGGACACGTGACCAGTTAAGCTGACAAAGGGGCCCCAAGAAGTGGCTGTGGGGGGGGTCACGTGATTGGGACCCAGATCCTTCCCGAGGATTCTGGAAAGTGGACGTGGCCAAGGGCGGAGCCGGCCACACCACAGAGAATATAAGCCGGGTCCCGAAAGGGACCGTGGTTATTGTTCGTCCTCGAAGAAATATTTGTCTACCTTCTCCGTTCAACGAGTCTCAAACACGTAGACCCGGGCCGAAGCTGTTGGTCCCGGTCTCAATTAGCAGTTATGTCGTAACTAGTGTAGTTAGCCTGGTGGTCACCACCAGGTTAACTACACTAGCGACGTAGTAACTAGTGTAGTGTAGTAACTAGTGTAGTTAACCTGGTGGTCACCAACAGGTTAACTACACTAGCTACGTAGTAACTAGTGTAATGTAGTAACTAGTGTCGTGTAGTAACTAGTGTAGTTAGCCTTGTGGTCAACACCACAGGTTGTTATTTTGTTAAGGGGAAAGTTACCCCGTGTGTTGGAACTGAATAAATGTGTTGCCTCCAAGTCTACGTCTCAGACTCAGTTGAACCTATTACATATATACTACACTATACAATACACTATACACAACCTAAGAGTAGCACAGTTGGCTACGTATGTTGCAAAAAGCATCGTACAATATCCTGGATTTTAATCTGGATTTCAGCTGCCTGTGATTATACCGAGTTGATATTAATTAGCTGCACCAATTAATTTTTAAAATTTCATTTCAGTTTGAATGCCACCTGTCTGTCAGAAGGACACAATTGCCTAACCATAGTATGAATAAAGGGGCCTACAAATTGGAATTAAAATGTGGTTCTGTGACGTCATCTTCTGTGGCGTGTGAGAGTTCCCAGGCATTTGTTGTCTCTTGACAAGATCATGATTTGGACAATTGGAATATTTAGTTCGAAGTGGGGTTTTCTCTCTTTAAAAAAGTTTTGGTCAGTTGCTTATCAAGTTTTGTCTGTGCTTCATGCCAGTTAAAATGGGAGTATCCAAAGGAACACCCGTCATGCATACATGAGATAAATATCACGCATATTGCAGATATGACAACAACCTACTTGCTGTGCTGCCACTTACCTGAACCACAGCTGCTGCACCATGAGCACTTCTCCTCCTGGTTGTCTCTGTCCATATAAGTGCCCTTAGAGCACAGGTCACACAAAGCCTTCCTTCCGTCAGCTATGCAGTCCTTCACCTTGTAAGTCCCTGAAGGACAACGAAATGCGAGCAGGCAAAGGCGTTTTTCCAAACATAGCGACCACAAGTTGGTTCAGAGAGACGTGGGCTGCACTGACAATCATCCAGTGTTAAGTTCTATTCAGAGTATAGTAGCACGACTGAAAACTAATTTCTTCAGTATCGAATCACTTTTTGTAGCCTGATAGTGATGAGGTCACGGGGTAAAAGCTGGCCCCAGTTGGGTTCCTTTCCACAGGAGTAGGGCCTGTGACTTGGTGGGGACAGGAAGCACCCGATCACCACGCTTTGTCGTTCCACAGAGGTGTAGGGATTGGGGGTCTCCGTGCCTGTGTGTTGCTTTTACCTGCAGGGCACAACCGGCAGCAGACTCCTCGTGGTATTTTGTAGAATCCATCTCCACACTCCTTGGCGGCAGACGGCTCCTGCAGTGCACAACACACCTGAAGAGAAGGTCCACACAGAATGGAGTGATTATGGTAAAGGTCGTGACTTTGTGGCTGCGACAGTCCTGATGCTTTCAGAAAACATATCCCTGTTGTTTCCATGAAGCATTTGTAACGAGCTTAAAACTCATCACGCTGGCAAATTTGGAAATCGGCAGCAACGATTGGTGCAGTTGGCACCAACCCATTATCCAGGCGGATGGAATCGTGGACACGCATGCAACATAAAGAACCCACAACACCTTCATCACTGATCCAGCAGCACAGGTATCTGGCGTAGACCTCCTCTCGAAGGTGGTAAACAGTAAATAACTGAACTCGCACAGAGAACAGGCGATGACGGCTGCCTTTCTTCACAATTGAGAGATGACTCCCAGACCATGGAACATATCAACTTGAACACTCTTCTTGGTTCTTTCGGTAAAGTCACGTAGAAGGGAAGTAATAAAATAATAACAATAAAACATAATAAAATACAATTCTCACGACGTTTCGGCCACAACGCAAGCAGCTGTCCTCAGGTGAAGAACATGGCTGTCGGAAAGACAGCCATGAACCGGAGAATTGTATTTTATTATGTCTTATTTGTATTATTTTATTATCTCCCTTCTACGTGACTTTACCGAAAGAACCAAGAAGATGAATCCCTGCAGTCACGAAAGCTTTAAATCGAAATTTAACTTGAACACTAATTTCTGTTGTGGGAGGTGTTTCATTTCTCCACTAAGCATCTCAGGAGGCCATTGAGTCCATTTAAAAACTAGACCTCACATTATAAGCTTTAACCATCATACAACAGATGAAGAATGTACTAAGTGAAACCACCAATTTAATCACTGCCTGTGAATGAGAAACTCAGAAGACGGAATGTGCCTGGAGGCACAGCAGAACAACTGTAATGTAATACGCATCACAGCAAACCCGAGTAGATTTACAACAGGCAAACGTGTGCAGCATTTTACGAACAAAGGCTTCTCACCATAATCCAGATCACCAGCTCAAAATAACTGAATGTGTGGCCGTTGTGTTTTTTTAAATGCCAACTCACAGAGTCGAGAAAATGTGGTCACCCCAACAACAGCAATGAAACAAAGACAACTCTAGACCGGATTCATCCACAATAGGAATCGTCAGTACAGCACAGTCATATATGATGTTGCCATCTGCCTCCGGGAGCCTCAAATATGGAGAGGAGTTGTACGTTTACACTATCGGACCCATAACTTGCGTGAAGGCGGCAATAATTCAAATCAATAAACGACGATGAAACTCAGTTTAATACGATGGAGGCTTTCACGACCAATATCATCAATAATACAGGTTTTTTTTTTGTTAGATCGCGTACATATATGCGTCATTAAACCCGCCAACACCCAACACAGCAAATTAGGCTGTCCGCCTAATGATGCTCTTTGTAATTACTGGATCAACGTCATAGTGAGATTGTAAATGTTGTGGATTTGCTCTCCAACACACTAGTGTGCTGTACTAGTGTCGAGTACTGTAGTAAATAATGACGTTACGTCACGCTCGCCCTCCGTTGCAGTGACGTCAGAGAATGACGTCATGCATGGCGGGTGGGATGGTGACGTCATGTCCCCCCGGGATATTTAGGGTGGGACCCGTGACGTGTTCCGGGATGTCGCAAGGAGCCGGGAAGGTGTGAGGTTGGAAGTTGGGACCCAGGATAGGGGGAAATTAGCGCCAGGCTAGAGTAGCCTGTGTGAGTGCTAGGAATCCCCAGTACCCCTCCCCTGAGGTGTGGAGTGTGAGTAGAGATGGGAACGTGTGCCTGCAGTGGGAACAGTCCAGCTGCCGCCGAAGGAGGAAGGCTCGAGGGTTAGAAGCCCGACCTCGTCGCCGGGTGGTGATGGCGTGCCCGCGCCCGGGGCAGACGAGGGGAAGCCGTGCCGGGGCGTAGAATAATGGGAGACAGTTCCCCGTGCAGGCCAGAGTTCTGACGCGCACCATAACGGGTGCAGGCGTCGGGTGTGGAGTGTAGGCAGTGAGTGTGTAGTACTCAGGGAGTAAGTGACGTGTGAAGAGTGGTTAATAAACAACTGGCTCAAGTCCTTACATGAAGCTCCGTCTCAGTGTGGATCTACAAGTCTCCAGTGGTGTCAAGAATAACCACACAACACTAGTAACGAATTGGCATATATTGTTTACGTGATAAATATTACTAATTGGTTGTGTCGGGTGGTGGCTGATTTAACGACGCAATTATATTTTCACGATCTAACCCAAAAAAAACGTATTATGGACGATGACACTCATTGCAACAGACAAAATTATCATAGGCCATGAAACAAATAGGTTGAGCAACACACAATCGTGTGCATTGAGCTGGTGGTCTGAACAGGGCTGACATGTTGTACATGCAAGACACATCTTTGCGCATCATTTTCAGATTTGAGCATCCCTGGTATAAACCTACACAGTAGCAGACGCCAGTGTCTGCTCGAACAACCATAGAGCAGCGTTCATCTCAACTGCGGCCCTGAGCCCTTGGTATTAATTTCACATTCCCATGGTGGTGGTGAGACTCGTTGGGATAATAGCAGTCAACTTCCCGGTATTTCTTTCTTATGGCAAGTGCAAAGCCAAGGACAAAATATTTAAACTTCATGTTGAGAAGGTGATCCATTCGATGGCATCCAAAGTTGATTTATGTATAAAGTCAGTGCCTCTGTAAGGCTATAATGGGCAGTGGTGAGTTACGTGATTCAGAGATCGCACTGCATCACATTCACAATAGGGCGACTTTCATTGTCTTCCCAGTGTTCTGTATTTTTAATATACAGTAGTCCCTCGATTAACAGTGACATCAGTTAACGGTTTTTCAGTTAATGTTAAACCTCCCATAGGACCCTATGGTTTTGACTCACGTTAACGTCGTTGATTAACGGTATGTTTTATATTAGCGGTCCCCAACCTTTTTGGCACCAGAGACCGGTTTCCTGGAAGAAGCTGTTAGCGACGTTTGTATTTTACTCATTTTGGCTAGGGTTAGCTTGTGGGCTTTCCAAAACTGACTTTTGACCGAGACAAGTGCAAAGTGCGGGAAAGAGGCACAGACGGAAGTGGTCAATAAAATAATGGCGGGCGACGCGAGGAATCACCGCTCTCACCTCCTGCTGTGCAGCCCGGTTCCAAACAGGCCACGGACTGGTACCGGTCCACGGGCGGGGGTTGGGGACCCCTGTTTTATATTATACACGCGGTCACGAATTTCGGCAAATCCGAGCGCTCGTAAGTGGGAATGGGCATGCCTCAGCCAATCAGCGATGCCTGTTTATAAGCCTTTAGACCTCGACTGGAATTGTTTATCGTAATTTATATTTTTATAAAACGCCTTTATCCAAGGCGATTCATAAGGGTTATGAGTTGCACAACGAGGGTAGCTAAAAGTGATATGGTGAATAGGGATGGAGTATGGGGAGGGAGGATAGTGGGTTCAGGAATTACGGTGGTTACCTTGGGATGGAGGGAATGATGGACCAGGGAGAAGAGGTGGGTCTTGAGGGAGTGAAAACAGCTCTCTTGCATACTAAGTGCTTTTTGCTTATTTTTCAACTCATAAGTGAATTCGTTGCGATAGCAATGGCCTCGAAAGTGAATTCGCAAAAGGAAACGAGGAATAGGAAAGTAATTCGTTTTAAAACGAAGCAGGATGTTTTTAAGGTTCACTTCCGATCATCTTAGAATGGTTTCATGCTTTTAACGTGTAATTTCTATATTAATTTAGCAGTTATCTCGGTAAGCAGTAGTTTTCGTGTAAAGGATTAAAAACGTAAACTGAGGGACTACTGCATATACATATTGTCCATTCTCTACACCACAATATCAGGTTACTCTTGCAAATAAGATAACTCTGTTCTCTTGAGTTGTCACCTGGTTTAAACATTAACTTGACTACATTTCACGAGAGGTCATATATATAATGAGGACAATAAACTCTGTACCTTTGACTGCAACGGCAAAAGACAGACTGATACTGAAGCTGTAGACCTGGTTCATGTTTACCAATGCACTGTACATTAACTAAGACAACCTGGTTCACCCCTTTTTTCCCTATAATCTTTAGTCATTCTTACACACACAATATTATTTGAAGTCACGCACAGCTACAATGTAATTCATCTACCGGTATGCCCATAACAGCCTGACTAAGAATCAACTAACTTTTTTTCAAGTGGATCACGCACCATTGGGACGTTTGTCAATTGCACTTGAAATAGCGAGCGCACGGCATCGTTTGGGGAGGAAAGAAGGACACTCAGAGAACACCCGCCATGCATGAGGACATGACACTGGGTGGTCGTTACAGTTGGTCTGAGATTAGGAGCACTCCCTTTAAGAGTGTGCTCCTAATCTCGGCTCGTTACCTGTATAAAAGACACCTGGGAGCCAGAAATCTTTCTGATTGAGAGGGGGCCAAATACTTATTTCCCTCATTTAAATGCAAATCAACTTATAACATTTTTGACATGCGTTTTTCTGGATTTTGTTGTTGTTATTCTGTCTCTCACTGTTCAAATAAACCTACCATTTAAATTATAGACTGATAATTTATTTGTCAGTGGGCAAACGTACAAAATCAGCAGGGGATCAAATAATTTTTTTTCCTCACTGTAACACTGGGTGGTCGTTACAGCAAGTGGGATCATAACCCGGTATCTGCACCTTGCTCTCTGCCACCACTTATAGGCGCAATGATCGACACAAAAAGCTGATTTTGTAGAGGTGAGTTTGGGACGATTTCTTCTATTCAATTGATGAATTGGCCAAACAATCTTAAAAGACTGCTGTTTGGTGGTCAATAACTTAGACCCCTTCAAAAATGGCAGCCACCCTCACGTCCTGTATCCCTGAAGGCTCATGATGGCAATGGCGTCACAAAGCCCTGCCCATCACCTCCCGTCCAGCAACACATGTGGAAAGAGGTTAGATTTTTTCATCTTCCTCACAACTGGTTTTGTGTTATCTGATTGATTGAGTGATAAAATGGATAATGTATAGAGTAATCGATTACTTAAATAATAAATCATCTTTGCTTTACTCGTAATAATTACTTTGTCATGCCACTTGAGACAGAGATAGTGAATAACAATGGGCTGTCTCCTGGTTAAAAGACGAAATTCAATCTCATTAAGAAACGTTGACATTGATGGAAAATTTTTAGCAAAAACTGAAACGTGCACGTAAAACTATGGAAATATGCAGGCTTGGAATTTCGTTGAGAGACAGAAAGTGGAACATGTGGATTAGAGAACATAGAAAGGTTACAAACATTATCTTGACTGTTCATAAAAGTAACTGAGCTTGGAAAAGACACGTCATAAAGTGAAAGAATGATGGCCGGGTGGTCGAGATTTAACGACGGAATGGCTGCCAAAGGAAAGAACACTCCAGAGAGAGAACATCAACTGCTGGATATGGAAAAATGATTCATCCTCAAGTAATGCTTCCCCTATGAAGGTTATAGCCCTTAACATCACAAATGAATGAACGAGTGAATGAAACTATAAGTGGTGGTCCTCACCATCAGTAGGAGTGTTCCTCTCAGCGCCAGCCCAGGCGAGCTCCTCCGCTTGGTCATGAAGTTCATCGCTCCTCACTCCTCGCCCTCAGACTTTCGACTCCTTTCTCACCTCTCACCTCCTATGACGGCTCCGTAATATTATTTTTCTCTTCAACTACTTTTAAACTATATTTTTTTATTTCACCGGGTTAAGGCCCCACTGAGCTGTGTAACTCTTTTTCAAGAGCAACCTGGCTATCACAAATGATAGCAGCTCAACGAAGTGGCTTATCAAGTGGAATTGTAGAGCAGACACGTAAATCTAAACGCGTGATGTTGATTCTAAATGTGGAGGGAAAAATCCACATCTGTCTTGTTTCTCTATATTCCCCACTATATCTCTCCTGTCTCCTCACCCTCTTGTCACGCTTCTCGACCCACTCTTGTCAGAAGCCTGAGTTCGCAAGCTTCTTCTCTACATTGTCACCTCCAAAGGTGTTTTTTTTAATTAAACCTCGCTCTTAACAGTTAAATCGCAGCCGGATTCAATGCTAAACGAAGAGACTAGGCAATTGCTTGGTGACACAGTGGGACGTTTTCTCTTCGTGTTTTTTCTTACTGCGAGTTCCTTGCGAAGGTCACGTGTGTGGTTTGTAGTGCTAAGTTTATGAGAGGGAGTTGGCAGTCTGCTGTAGCCCTGACAACGCAGGCTCGTTGAATGATAAGAGTCGTAATTTTGGGTGCGGTCACATGTCCAAGTGGTGCGCATACCTCCATTAATTACAAATCGCGTTCTTAAACCAAATAAATACGTGCCCTGGTTCATCCGAAATCTACGTAATCGCCTCGACACCACAGCAGTTGCATATCTTTAAAAACAGTGGACAGAGTTTGATTTATTTTGATTGACGTGACTCTGCTGTCCAGTTAGTGGGCTGAGTCTTATGCGCAGGAGCAGGAAAGTGTTATCCCTGAGCACGCGAATCGATCGGTCAATTATTAGTATTCGTTCTAAATTCAAGGAGTAACAATCAAAATCGTCAGATGTGCTTAAAAATCGACTAATTTATACGTGTGAAGTATTGGAAATGACGGCAGGAACTTCTTGACGGGTAACACACTTTTATTAAATCTCGACGTGTCACAATACAACGTGTGGTCTCTATACTTCTGACTATACACTCCACTTAACTAGTGTAGACTCTATGCCTCTGGCTACACACACTTCACTTGACTCGTGTAGACCCTATGCCTCTGGCTACACACAATGTACTTGACTCGTGTAGACCCTATGCCTCTGGCTACACACAATGCACTTGACTCGTGTAGACCCTATGCCTCTGGCTACACACAATGCATTCGACTCGTGTAGACCCTATGCCTCTGGCTACACACCATGCATTCGACTCGTGTAGACCCTATGCCTATGGCTACACACCATGCATTCGCCTCTGGGTTACACAGAGTCCCGGTCCCGTTAGGACAGCGGGACTAGGTACCGCAGGGCCCTATCTCTTCATCCCCGTCTTCAGTCTTCGCTGGTTACATACTGCCTTTGCGCCTGTGTGCATCCCCTTTTATAGCCCCTGCTCACGGGAGACGGAGCTGATGCGGACGTCGACGTGAGCATCGCTTCTTAGTTAACCAATGACGACGCGCTATCTCTACGATCCGTTTTCCCCCAGCGCGTGTTAACACTCTCAACCAATCACACCGCGCTGCCACCCGATCACTCCCTCTCAGCGCGTCACCGGCACACAGCCAATCAGCACCCCGTAACCCACGACCCCGCGCTGACCCCTGATCCTCCACCGTCAGCGCGCGTCACCACATACACAGCCAATCACTACGCGCTGGCACACGATCCCTACCCCAGCGCGTATCACCACTACATCACCCCCTCCCACATAGCTCGCAGCCGGCCCGGCTGCTAACCAACAACACAACCCAACGTCAACGCAATAATAAAAACCCCACCCCCCAGTGTGCCCCGTAACGCAACAACAACAACACAACAGCAACACTTAAATAAGAAGCAATGTACAGCCCGACGAACAACACAATAAAGCGAACTCCAAAAAACGAACGCGCCAAATGTCCCTGTGACTAAACGCAGTGACGAGGCGCTCCGGCTGCCTCGACTCCTCACGTGGTAGGTCATGAAAAGTAGCGCGACCTAGCGCGAGTCCGTCTGGCCGGTCCGTCGTATGGGACGGGACGCTGACGACCGCCCGGTGGCTCCGGCAGCTCTAGACGGCGCGGATCGGGCCTGGAAGGACCGGCCCCGCCGCGCAGATCCGGCCGCCGGTGGTCGGCAGATGTCAGTTCCGAGACACCTGGGAGCGGATCAGGCGGAGACATGTGAGGATCAGGCAAAGACATTTCCCCCTTAGGGTCGTCGGTCACGTCACATGCTCGGCCCTCACGACACAAGGGGAGGCCATATGGAGGCGAGAACGGTTTCAGTCGGGAGGGGTGGACGTACCAACGGCGCTTTCCCCATTTTATCTGAACGCACTGGGGGCGTGCAACCCGCACGACCTCCACGGGTCCCCGCCACGGCTTCAACAATTTAGGCGACGTAGCCAAAGGTGCCTGAGGGCAATGCAGCCAGGCCCTGTCACCTGGTTCCCAATTGTGCACGGACACCTTCCGTGCACGCAACCGCTCGTTCGCAATTTGGCGAGCCCGCGAATTAAGCCGTGCGGCCTCCCTTGCCTCCGTCAGCTTATGAATATTAAATTTAAGATGCTCTGCCAATTTCGAATTAGTTCGTGGTGCGGGCAGGCCCAGCTGCGTTTCCATGGGCGGGTCAGCTTCCCGACCGTACATCAGATAGAACGGGGAAAACCCCGTAGCTGCATGGGGGGCCATTCTATACGCGGCGAGGACCCCAGGGACCTGCAGGTCCCAATCAACATGTGCCTCACACACTTGCTGGCACAGCATAGAAGTCAATGTCCTGTGGAGTCTCTCCACCATCCCGTCCGTCTGCGGGTGGTACGGGGAGGTACGCACCTTCTTAGTACCCAACAGGTCGCACACCTCTTGCAGCAATTTACTTGAAAAAATTTTCCCTTGGTCGGTCAGCAAGCGTTCGGGAGCCCCCTTGTCCAGGACGTAGCCCTGGACAAAGGCGTCCGTCACAGCCGCCGCCGACTGGTTGGCGAGTGGCCACGCCATAGGCCACCGGGTAAAATATTCGACCCCCACCAACAGGTACTTATTACCCCTAGGCGTGACTGGAAAAGGCCCCCAGAATATCGAGCGCAACGAGCTCGTTAGTGCGCGAGACCTGAATAGATTGCAGCGGTGGATTTGCTGCCACGGGCGGTGGTTTCCGTCTGGCGCACTCAACACATCCCTTCAGAATATTCACCACGTCACTCCCCATCCCCGGCCAATAATAGTCACGCTGAAGCAGGGCAAGCGTTTTGTTTACTCCCAAATGCAAGAGGCGTTCGTGTGCGGCCAAGACAACTTTCCCCCTCACAGCAGATGGCACCACAATCGCGTGCCGCCGGGACAAACTGTCCCATCTCATTAACAGGTCTTGCTTAAGTACGTAGGAGCCAGTCCGTTCCTGGTCCCCTTCGGAACCCTCCATCCTGCGGTGCAACGCTAGCAGGGAGCTGTCCGCCATTTGGAGACGGCCCCACTCAATCAGCGACAGTGAGAGCAGCGAGTCCTGACCCCCTGGGGTAGCGGGACCCTCCCCAATTGGTGTGCCCGCGGTCGCAACCAATGCCCCCTCGCCTTCCGTAACTGGCGGTTTACAGCGCGCCGATCCCGATAAGCACGCACATTTGTGACAAGGCAACAATCGCGACAGAGCATCGGCATTTGTGTGTTGCAACCCCTTACGGTATGTAGTCGTGAACTGATAGTCCTGGAGGACTTCCAACCACCGTGACAATTGGCCCGAGGGCTGGGCGACCCGCAATGAATACTGGAGCGCCGCTGTGGTCAGTCCGGACCGTAAAGTGACGACCATAGAGATATGGTTTGAATTGTTGTACGAAAAAAACAATGGCAAGCAGCTCGCGACGGGTGACGCAGTAGCGCTGCTCTGCCGGCGACAACACCCTGCTACCATAGGCGACTACCCGTTCGACACCCCCAGCGACTTGGGACAGCACCCCCCCCAATGCCCTTGTTGCTAGCATCCGTGTCTAGCAAGAAGGGACTCGCAAAGTCAGGATAGCGCAAGGGTGGGGCACCCACCAAGGCGTCCCGGAAGGAGCAGAATGCAGCCTCCTCCTCCGGTCCCCATCGGAACTTCACTCCTTTCGCCGTCAGAGCGTGCAATGGTTTTGCAATGGTGGCGAAGTGCTCAACGAATCGGCGATAATAAGAAGCAAAACCGATGAAACTGCGCACGTCCGAAACTGACGTGGGCGTCGGCCATGAACTGACACAGTCAGTCTTCGCGGGATCGGTAGAAATCCCCGAAGAGTCGACAATGTGACCCAAATATCTAACGGATTTACGAAGAAGGTGGCATTTGGCCGGTTTAAACTTTAACTTAGCCGATCGCATTCGCAAGAACACCCCTCTCAATCGCTGGAGGTGTTCCTCAAACGTTTTACTGAAAACAATGACATCGTCAAGGTAAATCAAGCACGTATCCATTGCAAGCCCGACAAAACTAACTCCATAAGGCGCTGAAACGTCGCAGGAGAGGAGTGAAGTCACATGGGTAACCGGTTAAACTGAAACAGGCCCCCTGGAGTCCGAAATGCTGTCTTAGGTTTAGACTCTTCGTCGAGTGGCAACTGCCAGAATCCGGATAATAAATCAAGAGTCGAAAAGTATCGCGCACCGGACAATGCATCGAGGGACTCGTCCATCCTGGGGAGCGGATACGCGTCGGCCACAGAGATCTTATTCAGGCGGCGGAAATCTACGCAAAATCGCAAGGAACCATCCTGCTTTTTAACGAGCACAATAGGTGCTCCCCAAGGACTGGAAGAAGGCGAAATAATGTCGGCTTCTAGCATATCGTAACAGCCGACTGAACATGTTCCTTCTCAGCAGGACTCAGTCGGAAGGGATTTAGCCTGATCGGTGCCGCATCGCCAGTTTCAATGTGGTGGCGTAACAGGTCCGTGCACCCAATGTCATACTTATGGTTACTGACACATCCGAAAATTCTATCAGCAACCGCGCAGCGCACCCAACTGTCCCGCTGACAAATCGTCAGAGTCCGCGCACAGCGAATCGACCCATTCGACCGGTCCTCCTTCGGATTAACGTTTTGGCGTGGGGCTCGGATCAGCCTGCGCAACCAGCCGCTCTTCCGCAGGGACCGTGCCGCGTGAGCTAGCACGGTGCCCTGCTGATGACGGCCGGCCGCGACCCAGCGTTCAAAAACCATCACAAACGGATCCCTGTCAGCCCCAACCAAAGTGTGAGCCACCGACAAATCGCAGACCTCCAACAGCCCTATTAGAAGGACCCAAAAGCATGCCTTGATCCGAGGTCTCCCTCACCCATGGTTTCCGCAACCGGAGGGGAATTAACATTTGTGAACCCGGGGGCCACGTGCACGGTCTGTGTCGCTAACGCTTGTATCGTAGCGCACGCCGTCCGAATTTCAGTAGGGCTACGTCAAAAATGAAATACGGCAACCCGATG